CATTTTCTCAGTCATAATCCCACTGTTTAATGTTAATTGTCTATGAAGCTGCTCCAACCGCGATGGAATGGAGTACACGTCATAGCCTTGGTGAACCAGCCGGAGATAGCGTCGAACAGCCGCAGTGGCTCTTCAACACAGTGCTGGTTTCACACATGGCGTCGCAAGATGGCATACGCTATGCTCCTGGCGTTAGCCAGGATTTAGACGCATTTAGAACGAGGTAAAAATCCATGAATGTTTGATGTGATAACCGATGAGTCTTAACCACTTACAGTATTGGAATGATGTCCAAGAACCCCTAAGCCAATAACAATATCTACTATCCCTGCATGTCGCAGATTAAATTGAAACTCGGAGGCTCATCGCACCTCAATTTTTGGTGTCTCGAATACTTAAAGATCGGAAGCATGAAAGTGATGTCAGTGCATGAAAGTGATGTCAGTGTAAAGACGGTAGCCCGATCTTGTGTCAACAACAAACCATTTGGAAGCAAGGTGAATCAAGACATGAATACTGCTCGACTCTAGCAGCTGATGCTATTGCTATGATACTATTGAAACGCTTACTTATGCCAGGCTTGCGAGAACCAGCCAGTATTGGATTGGATATATAATCGGCGGTGACCTCAATGGACTCAACATTTTGGGAACCAAGCAAGATGAGTAAGGGTCACCACAAATCCCAATTTCACCGCAAAGGGACTAAATACGAGGTCCGTGATTGAAGGCATGCAATAGTCAACCGGTTTTGAGTAAGATTCACAGGCGAAAGCATAGACAGAAACCTTTTATGGTTCCTTGTTGGCCGCTGCGATAGGAAAATCTGATACAGTATAGTCATAGATGATGTTTTCGGATTCGGTTATTTTTTATTCTACTCTGACGGCAATACAATCAACCTTTTTGCACCCGTTTGAGACAATGACTTGATTCCAAAGGTGAAGAGACTACTACCTACTACCACCTTTTTATACCAGTATCAGCAGTTGATTTCAATCTGCCATCAGAGAAGTCTGAACGATACTTGACAAGATATAGTAGTAATATATTACCACTAATAATAGACTCATCTTTGGTGAATCGACTAACTCTCATTGGCTAAAAATTCACTAAAGAGCCCACACCACAAAACAAGAACGATAGTGTAAAAATTGCAGAATAATCTGATCTATTGCAGCGTGGAAGAGTGCAAAGGAAAGAAAGGCGATCACCAGGTTTTATAACCTGCAAACGCGCGGTCATGAAAAACAGCAGAGCGGCAGTCAATATAGCTGGGCTTTCCGCGTTTAGAGAAGCATTAAATTGTGTTGATTTCACTGCCACATTTTTATCACCCCATCCCATCCACAAGTGAACATAGTTGAGGGCTCAAGCGGATGCCACACGCTCGCAATTGCAGGTCCCTTGTCATGAGCATGATACTTTTGTAAAATTCTGAGATAGTACAAAAGAAGATGAGATTGGAATGGAGATTTCCGTTGCAAGGCCCGTTGACTTACTTGTGTCGTTTCCAATCCCAAAAAAAAAGCTTCCCTTTTCCATCTCCACAGGCCAGAAACCTCCCATCGGGGCTTAGTGTCATCTCACAAGCGTATCCAGCGACTTGGTGTCCACTAAATTTCTTCTTCTTCTGCATCGAAAATCTGTTTCCAGCCTGGAAAACACATATTGTATTGTCCAACGACTGAGTGACGAAGAACTGAAGAGAGGGATGCATTACCATGCAGGGCATCGAATGCATAGTAGGGTCAGATATATATTTCACTGGAACCCCGATATCCCATTCCCACACCAACACTTTTTTGTCATCACTTGACGATACCATCTTGACCCCATTGTCTTCTACAAAGATGATCGCATTGACAGGTGCCAAATGATGGTTGTATTCTTGAGTAATTTCTGCAGTGGTTGCGTCATAAGTAACGATTTTGTTGTCGCTACACCCAACAACAAAGAAATTGTCATCGTGTGGATAAAACTTCACAACATATGGCACCTTCTTATTTCCAAAGGTGTTCAAAACCTTCCCGCTTTCCGTGTCCCATAGTCTTAGAACGCGATCGAAGGATGCCGAAACAAATTTACTGCCATCATTGTTGAATTGGACATCCCGAACTGCAGCAGCATGCCCATGATAACTCCGCATTAGTTTCTTCTCCGCTATAGACCAAACTTTGCAAACGCCATCGAGTCCTCCACCCAACAGAAGATGACCAGTTTTTGGAAAGAGTCGTATCCGATGAATCCCTTTATCGTTGCCTATGAAACGATGCACGCATTTTTTGGGTACATAACAGCGGTGGTGGTCGATATCTAGAGCATCTCCATCTATCACTGACCGCATTCCACTAGGTGGAGCGACCCAGGATTGGCCCTTATAATTTGATTCTTCAATACCGTGGAAAGTCGATTTTGGTTCAACACCTTCTCCGTCCATCTTGGGCGGCAATAAGTGCGCCATTTTTCGATCCACCAATCGTTCCCAAGCAGGTTGCTCTTCCTTCGCTTCTTCCTGCACTCCCAAAAGGCGGTCACGTTCCTTAACGTACGCACGTTCAGCCAATTGCTCTGGTGCCAGCGACTCCAAGCCCCCCTTTTGAATATCAGATAGTGAGTTCTCAGCATGCCATCGTTCCTCTTGCGAAGGAGGGCCCCATACTCCGTATACCGCCTCGTCGTCAGAACCATCGACCAAGGGATCTTTCGATTCGAATTTGGGTCGCTTTTTCTGGTCATTTTCTGTCTTCTCAAATTGTTCTAGTCGTTTCGTAGTGTACCCTAGTGTTGTACGTACAACAGACTGCTGACTCGGACCAACAGCTTGACCCGTCCTTTGAAACTTTGTTCGCTGTTTCTTGAATACAGTCTCGTCAAAATGATAATTTTCCTGCATTTCTCCTGCAAGAGCCTTTTGTACCTGGGGATCCAAAACCTGTGGACCTTGGATGGGGGCTTCGACGATGATTTGAGATGACGGGTCAACCAAGTGAATGAGTTCGTTGCCATGATTTCTTCTCGTCATCACCGATATGGCGGGTGCTGCTCGCAAGAAACGGGGATCAGATTTCTTCGCCTTTTTCTCTACGGGTCCATCGGCATCTGTATCAGAATTTGAGTTATATCCTCCAAGCAAGTCCATCATTCAGCTTGAGGATGCCAAGATAGGTGATGTGTAATTTTTTGCTAATCAGCTCCAATCGTATGATATGTACTGACTGACTCGTCCGATTACAAGAAATTCGGTGGTCGTTAATGCAATAATACCTGTACCATCTAGAGTGTACTGGATTGATTGTGTGGTGTGTAGAGTACCTTACCGGTATCAGGCAGCTACCATGTATCGCACCTCAGACAGATGTTGACAACTATGACGAATGAAACAATATGCGTCTATTATGCATCGAGTCTTAATAATACGCATTAAATTCTCCAATCTCCGTTACTTTCTTCGGTTCCAAGCCAAGAATTCGAAATTGACGTTTTGTGCGAGGACTCCACTGTCCCTTGTAATATTATGGTGGGTATACTCTCTACAGGGGGCTTTTCTTCCCATGTTTGGCTACAGTACCTTGTATCGACCTGCCTGCCTTGCTCTCCTCGTTTACTGCCTTTTCATTCTACATTCTCCACTACTACTAGTAGGTCCTATATTCATTCGATTATAGGCCTACAGTACACTGATTACAAGATAAGAGGGATTAATGCCGTTTGTGAGATATTTGGGTACTGGCGCTTGTACCAGTCATAGTTATTCAAAGAGGATATCGTCAAGTTTGTCCACACCCAAAGAAACAGAAACCAGGATCCAAAGTTTGAATGGTGAATGCCGTGAATCGGCATCATCAGGGCCCAAGTAAAATACAGTAGTATCTCAGCAAGATAGTGTGGGCATAGTACTAGTCGAAACCAGCGCTTCTGAGGCACCATTCGTGATGCCATTCGGTCAAAGTTTCTGAGTTCGGAAAGCAAAACGTGATGCCTATACTGTTCATATTGAAGCCAAAGGTTGGCAACAACGGAGAGCCCGGATAATTTTGGCTCCATTCTATAACCTCTACCCATAAAATTGAAAGGAAATAGTAAATAATGCCCAATTCCGAGGAGCCAGCCACCAAAGTGCATTTTACTGTTTGGTGTGTACTTGTGGACACATGTACACTCGTAAAGCCGTCGCAGGAGGTGTGTCAGCACCGTAATTGTCACTGATATGGGAATACAGTCTCCAAAAAATGTAGTAATTAGTATCATCCATATAGAACCTGCCGCGTAGAAATGCCGGAAGCTACTCTTGGAAATCCATGGAAACTTGTTCCTGCCGGATTGACTTGTCACTGTTTTCCCATGTGCTGAGAGCTTTTTCAATAGGGGAAATTTCCGGGACGCTATTGCTGTAAGACTAAGAGCGATATAGATGACGGGCAAAGAACGGATACATAGCGCGACTATTGGCGAAGTTGGAGCTGCTTCCGACCAACAAACCATGCAGCATTTATTTTGAATTTGGTGTTTATTTTTATGATGATTCATTCTCTTGCCTAAAAAAAAAAAGAATATGTCAGGATTTCTTTTTTTGTATGGCGGTGCAACTTATGCGCCCCCTGCGCCCCCTCCGGTGGACTCTGACAAGACCTGGGGTGGGCCCACCGTGCACCTCTCCCATACCTCACGAAAACCAATAAAAGACCCCGATCCACGAAATACCCACCCAAAATTTGGGTGGAATTTGGAATTCTGGGGACAAAGCAAAAATTTCAAAAAGCACCTACGGACCTAAAACCTTTTCAAAGCGCTAGCTAGAGAATACTTTGCCCATCCCTTGTAAATTCAAGTTCTTAGGAGGTGTTAGAGGGGCTCCAGTGCAGAAAAAAACTTTCTGCTAACGGCTAAAAAACAGCCGTTAGTCAATTTGACTCAATTGA